CGGTGTAAGTTACTCTCTCAATCTTGATCATTGATGTTTTGATTTATTATATATTGCAGCCGTCAGATGCAAGCAAATCAATGGTTAAGATTTTGTGTAAGACTTCTTATTCTTATATCGGTATAAGAATATCTTGCTTCATATATATATATATAAATGAAAAATTGGGTGTCTAGACACTAAATATAAGATTTTATCTAATCATCACATTATAACTATATATTTAACTATGTGCTATAAGGAATACATAATTATAATATTAAAGTTATACTTTTTTTTCTCTCTTCATAAATTTGTCTGCTGATGTGGGAAGTGAAAAAAAAGTACAACTTTAATATTAATAATTATGTATTCTCCAAATACATAATTATAATGTAGTTACTATATCAAAACTTATATCTAGTGACCGGAGACCATATAGACTCATATATATATATATATATATATATATATATATATATATATATATATATTTGGCATATACTTTTTCAAGCTTTTTTTGTGGGTACAATTTGTACTTTTAAAATTATTTAAATGACACATGCATGCAAGTATATGTGTACACGCATATACTTCTGCAGGCATTAATTTTTGCAACTGAAAAACTTAACTTTTACGAGCATTAATTGGATTTTTATTTAAAAAAAGAAAGAACTTTTACAGGCATTTAAACCAATACTGCTTTTGAGTTGCCCCTGCCATAATCGCAATGTTTAGAAACACTCAAAACTGGTATAAGCATGTGAAACTCTGATGAAGATGCTTGCTAGATCTTAAGAGGGTTTGCTTCATGATTTTATTTGATGGAAGAAATCGTTCACTCTTTAAGTCCCCCACCCAAAAAATAATAATAACACAGAGTCATGTGTACACGCACACGGTGACGTACAGCAAATTATGCTTCTGTCTTCAATTGTTTTAGCCACATGATGAAGCATTATCTTGTCAATGGGGTGTCTTTTTCCTTATCAACCAATATGTTGTATGGGTCCAATGTGGCACATCCAAGTATGCGACAAATTAAAAGCCATTTTGATATTACCTCTGTGTATGCCATCCACACACAAAACATTGTCTTAGGCCTGAAACTAAATTGGACTAAGACATAAAGCTAAAAACTACTTTATTTTCCCTTAAATGTGATGAAAACTAAATGGTTATTTGTCTAGGTGAATGCCAAAATTAGAATTCATATCTTCAGTGAAATATATTTTTAGCATATGAGATGCAGTGAACTTAATGCATTTATCTATTTATTTTGTGATATGTACAGTGGCGGAGCCAGGTTCCAATCGGAGCCCGGGCTAAAAAATTATATATGTATTTTTTTTCTTAATTTTATTTAATTTATATAATAATATATTTAAATTATATTAAATATAAAACACTTGAGCAAATAGTATTAAAAAGAGTTATAATTTTATTAAATATTTTTTAATTTTATTAAATATATTTAAATTTTTTTATATAAGTGAAAATGGAACATATAACTTAATACAACTTACCCAAATCTCTCACCAAATATATTTTATTTTTTTGATAGGGTCAAATTATAAATTTCAGCCCGGGCCAAATTACAATTTTAGACCGGACCAAATTATAATTAATTATATAATTATACATGATAAGTACAATTTATTAAAATTTAGCCCGGACCGAGACCACCCGACAACAAGTGGCTCCCCACTGGATATGTAAAAAAAAAATATTACATAATCTAAAAAAACAGATGATATGATATTTTTAGTTCACATATCACGTAATAAATGGACAAATATATTAAATTTTTGATGCATCTGATACATTAAAAATTTATTCCTTCGGGTCGGTGTTGTTTTTGCACCCATTCATATAATGCTGAACTCAAACGAGCCATAAAGATGATACGTGAAGCCACGTTGACTGCAAAGGGTCCAAACTTTGATAATGCCACGGAAATGTAAACATAAGACGAATATAATAGTGCTGCAACAACCAACCTCTCCTTATAAATATCCAAGCCAAACTTGCTTTTTTCCCGTGAACAAAAAACTAGGCTCAATGTTATTTTTATTTTCCTGCCAGAAGTATCTCATTTTGTCTCTAGTTAAAGATTATGGTCATGGAATATTTGTAAAGAGTTCTTTATATAATTAATTAAACAAATAAGCGCAACCAATTAATATAAACATTCGTATGTTCCTGGCAAGAGACCAATTAGCATAAAGCACCATTTTTGTGCTAATGTGAGGTGGATATAGCGAATCACATGGATGTCACTATAGAAGTAGGTGTATCAGGCCTGCAATTAGGTTCCATTAGTTGGATTAATGAATAATAGAAGACTAATAATAATAATTATTTACAAAAAAAATAATAATAATAATAATAATTTGAAATGAATATATAAATTACAAAAAAAATAATTAAATATATTTTAAATATTTAATATGATTCTAGTAAAAAAAGAATATGTTTTACAAATGTAAAAAGTAACTAATTAGGTATTGTTTTTACTTTGAAACGAGGTAAATTTTTCTTTTCCTAAACTTTATCATTAAAAAATAGGGAAGTACTATTCTCATTTTACATGAGGTAGTTATCTCCTTTTCTTTCACTTCAAAAATCGTATCCTTTTTTTTTCTTTTTCTTTTTTGCTTTTAAATAGCGAGCCCTACTTGAATTCTCTCTGTGACATGAGAGAACTACTCTCGTGTTACATGAGAGTAATATTACCCTAAAAAATAATAATAATTAGGCATCCAATTGTATACGTGATACATTGGAATATGAGTATCAGACCCGTGCTTTTAATTATTTAACCAAATTTAGGTTGACGATCTTCCTCCAAATAGTTAATGCATTGTGACAAACTTTCATCGTGATTTGAGTCGCAATAATCGACGATTTCATTAATGTCAGCCAACACGACAAAATAGACAAATTAGGAAGGAATAACTTTAAGAAAAGGTTACCTCTTATGAAAATGGTAAAAGTAAAAGTCGCGAATTTTCTCATCTGAAAAAAAAAAAGCATAATATAGTCATAAAGAAAATAATAATTATGTAAAGATGAATTAATGATAATAAAAAAATTATTAAAATAAGTAATTAAAAATTCATAATCGTTGATTTATCTTTATATGTTGATGATATTCTTCTCACATAATTATGATATATTTTTTTTACATGAACGAATCTATTTCCACTCTGAATAATTATTTAGATAAAAAGACCCAAATTCAAAATTAAATTAGTCGGGGGTATTAAAATTTTAGACATAGACAGTGGTAGAGCAGGGAGGGGCTAGGGAAGTTGGTTTTCCCCCTTCAAATTCATATCGCTCCCCTTTCAATTTCATATAAATCTTTAACATAGATAATTATAACTGAACAACAAATATTACACTTACATTTTACGCCTTTTATAAAAGTATTTGAATCATGTTACCAAAAAAAAAAAAGTATTTGAATCTATCATTGTTAATGGTATTTACCAAAAAAATTAAATCATTATGAATGTTTGATTATTATAGGAGGGGGCAATGCTTGGCTTTAGTATACAATGCTTAATATATTAGTCTTTTAGTATTCACTTTTCCATCTTGGCTTGGATCGTTACGTACAACTTCAATACCAAAATATTGTACAACTGAAGATATTCCTAATTAAACGGATTGAAATATTTTACTATCAAAAGTCCGTCACAATAGATTTTAACAATAAACCAAAGATGAATATAAATAATATCAAATAATTAAAATAAAAATGAATTTTATAAAAGTTGTTATAATATTATTTTATAAATTGAAAATATAAAACATTATTTCTGTAAGTAATTTGTGTAAAAATACAGCTACTTATAATTGTATCCATAGTTGTTAAAATTTCGATTTATTACTACAATTTTATGTTCTTATAATTTTTTTTTCATCAAAATAATTTTACTAATATTCCAAATACTTTTATATTTTTACGATTTTTTTACATTATGATTTTACGTTTTATAATTTTTTAATCTTATTTCAATTTTACTTAAAATTTCAATTTTAACAACATTAATGATATCAACTATGCCAACTTTTAAGATAAAAAAAAATGAGAAAAAGTGAAGATGGGGACCATAGTCCACAAGAAAAAGGATGCTACAGTTGGGAGTTGCATGTAGATCGTGGGAGTAGAGTGGATTGAGTTCGAGAAGACCGCAAGACATTAAAAGATGAACGCCACGTGCTACTCATAACATGTGGAACCTCTATCATTCTCCACCACGTTGCAGTTTCCACAGAGAATGGTTGTTCGTCATTTAATTTGAAAACAGAATATCCCTCATTTCATTCATTACCTCTTTCTAATTGCCTTTTGTTTCAGCTCAATGAATACCTCTTCATCATAATTAAACTTTAACTTATTATTCCTCCTTAAATGACGCTATTGGCCCTATTCAACTTTTTCCGCTCCTTCATGGTTGGTTGCCCCTTTCATTTTCCTTATCATTTTCAACCTTTTAACTTCCAATCTAACCAACCTTCACCTTCTCCGTCATCAATCACACCTTAAGATAAGTGAATATTGTCCTTTTATTGAAAAATCCAATTTAGTAATCTTTAATAGATCCATCCAAAACCTTAACCGATTGTTAAATTATTATATATGATCAAATCATTGATATAACTATGTTATATGAATTTTGTATCCCCCCAACACCCTTAATATATTATAGTAACTAGTAAGTGCAGTATCAAATGCCAGCTGGTGTGGTATTAAAAATGAACTATGATTAAATAATTTAACTTTCTGAAAGAAAAAAATTATTTGAAATAATTAAGCGTTTTGAGGCATGAAAGTTTCTGGAAGGGTCAACCCGTCCGTATCACGCCGTTACAGTGTGACAGTCCCGTGAGGCGGAAAGTGGCAGTTTGGTAATAAGGCTAGCAAATGGAGGGCACTTGCGTAATTGGTGGTGAGGAGCACATGAGGCCAAGCTCGATCTTGCTGCACAAAACAGCACCGAAGACCGAACCGAAACTGTGAGCGATAAGAGGGAAGGGAGAGAGAGAGAGAGAGAGAGAACGAGTGCTTCACATGAACCAGAGCTCCTTCCCGCAAAGCAATGCCTGGCATCATCTGAATTCTATGTAACTTTTTCCGTATCTTTGACGTTGCTTTCGCCAATTTCACGTAAGTAAAACTACTTTACAAGCCAGCCAAAACTAAAATAACTAGGAATGTCACTGCATTTTCCGTATCAGTTGATGGATTATTTTGCCTTGTTTGTTAGGTAAAAATGTTTAATCCTGCATTCTATCATGCTTTTTAACTGAGTTACTATTTTTCTTCTTCTTTTAAACGTAAAAATTAAAAAATGAAATGAAATAATTGAATAGAGTGACTTAACCGGATTTGGATGTAGTTCTCAATTATTGATTTCAAGCTGGGAAGTAGTGATTTTAGATTTCTTCAGTGTCAAGATTTGTTGGTTCATTTTTGTTTTTCAATGATTTAATTGCATTTTCTACATTTTGCAGTGTCTTTGTCTCCGAATATCCAAGATCTTGGAGGATAATGCTATCTCTGAGAAACATTTTTCAGAGGAAGGCTTGATCCGGCCTGAAATCTTCGATTATTGAGGTTTTTTCTGCTTCACTTCATCTTGGGCTGTTAAGAGAGGAGCAACCTCAAAGGCTTAGGACTTCAATGTTATTTGCTTAATCAAAGGTAAAATGAACTATTTTGTCTTACAAGGTATAAATAATTTTCATGCATGCTTTTTTCTGGGGGTTCATTACTTCATTATGTGTTGTTATTAATATTAATATTATTATAATTGTTATAGTTATTGTTATTATTATCATCTTTATTCCAATTTTAGAATGAAATCTAAGGATTAAAATGCAACTTTTGTAAATTGGTGTTCTGAACTGATATTGTAGGACTTTAGGTTGATTTCCAGAGAGGATGGCGTCATGGGATCAACTGGGGGAAATTGCAAGTGTGGCGCAGTTGACTGGAGTAGATGCTGTGCGGTTGATTGCGATGATTGTAAAAGCTGCAAATACTGCACGGATGCATAAGAAAAACTGCAGGCATTTTGCACAGCATCTGAAGTTAATTGGGAACTTGCTGGAGCAGCTCAAGATCTCAGAGCTAAAGAGGTATCCAGAGACTAGGGAACCTCTGGAGCAGCTGGAAGATGCCCTCAGAAGGTCTTACATATTGGTCAATAGTTGTCAAGATCGGAGCTACCTTTATTTGCTGGCCATGGGTTGGAACATTGTTTATCAATTCAGGAAGGCTCAGAATGAAATTGATAGATACCTACGTCTTGTTCCTCTCATTACTCTTGTTGACAATGCTCGAGTCAGGGTATCTGTTATTCTTCACTGTGCTCAATTATCTGCTCTCTCTTGTTGTGAATGGTCTTTTTAGTGTTCACCAAAAAAAAAATAGGGATGAAAATTTTTGTGGTTTTTTCCACATTGGAATTAGTTTTTCAACTTCTCAGATGCTATTGATCAATCATGACAAAGTTTTATTCCACTTCAAATATGTATTGTTTACATAGCCATCTTTACTTATAATATTCTGGATTTTTGTACATTATTCCTTGGGTAGGGGAGGAATTTAAATAATCAGATATGGTACTGGCATGGGGGTACATTGAGGTAAGCCTTCTGACAAAAAAATAGTAAAGCAGGAGTTTTCAACATTTTTTTAAGGTTCTTGTCAGCTTCAACATTGACCAATGTTTTATTTTGAGGCTATCAAGTATTGAAATGGGGTTGCTTTGTTTGAGTGAGGCCTGACTCTTGGTGGAAGATTTGTGGGTGACAGGAATTAAATTGTCCCAAACAACTTGTTGTCTGGCATATTCTACTTGTTTGCTAGATAGCCCAGATAATTCATTATTGATTGGTTCATCTACCAAGCTGAAATATTGTAGTGCATTGAAAATTTAAAATCCTGGCTCGTGAAAATTAGGGTCCTATGCTGGTAAGTTGCATGTATTGAATATGTGCAGCCAGCCAGAATATGTGGTTTAGTTTGATTCTAGTTACAATTCAGAAAAATGTCTAGTATGCTTAAATATGTGAAAAACTAGTTTGAAATATGTCTTCGGAAGGATTTATTTATTTAAAAAACTAGTTCAAATAGCATTTAACTGTATATTCTTTTTGAAACTCAAAGTATTAAGTTTCATACTTCTAGACATTCACATGTAGAAATGGATCCTGTCTCTTAACTACATGCATAAGCACAACTATATTCCCTGATGCTTTGTGTAACACACTATTTGCTATCAGGGTAAGGAAGCACTTAATAAAAATTATGATTTAAATTATGAGTCAGGATGAACACAATTGAAATGGTTTAGCTGCATTGTTTTGATCCTTCAGATAGGGTTGGGTATTAGTTTTACTTTTACCTTAAGTTTTCAATCAGTAGCACTATACGAAAAGGCAGTGGCCCAACTTGTAATCCATCGTGCAATTAATCAAATCCTTGTTCCTTTTCCTTATATTTGTGAGAGATTGTGTGTGTGCACACATGTGAGGGTGTTGCACATGTTGCAGCTTTGTGTTTCTGGATTTTGCATATTTTCCAACATGTATTAATGACTTTGACCTGCTTTATATTGTCACTTTAATGGTAGCACTGTGTTTGTAAATTTGGTCTTGTATGGTTAACAATCTGCTTGTCTGGAATATTCAGGAGAGACTTGAATTTATTGAAAAGGATCAACGTGAATACACATTGGATGATGAGGACCAGAAGATGCAGACGGTTATTTTAAAACCTGAGCCTGACAAAGATGATGCTGCAGAACTGAAGAAAACTCTTTCATGCTCTTACCCCAACTGTTCTTTCACTGAAGCACTTAAAAAAGAAAATGAAAAGCTTAAACTTGAACTACAACGATCACAAGCAAATTTGGATATGAATCAGTGTGAAGTCATTCAACGTTTATTGGATGTCACAGAAGTTGCAGCTTATTCTCTTCCGGAGAAGTGTTCAACTGAAAAAAGTCATAAGAAAGTGCAATACAGTTACACTGATGCCAATGATGACCAGGGTCATTCATCTGATGAAAAACACCATAAAATAATTGACAATTTTTCACCAGCAAGGTAATTCAATTCCCTCTTCCTCAACTTTAATGTGTTTTTGGTTCTCTCAGGATAACTAGTTGATCAAAAATCAGATTATTCATTTGAATCTTGAGCCATACAGCTCTGACATCTAGGAAGGCCCAAAGTTTACCCTTTGTTTTAACTGCTCTAAAGTTCCTGCTTCTTCCATCCCTTTCTTACACTGGCATGCAGTCAATTATAGGATTATTAATAAATTTGACCGTCTTTACCTTTGGTTACTAATACTGACTGTGAGTCTGATGCTCTTATATCCCTGGGCTCAAACAGATTGTCAGTTTCACAAAAGGAACTGGTGTCAACTGGAGGTTCATATCAGCAGGAAGATTGGCACACTGATTTACTTGCTTGTTGTTCTGAGCCTTCTCTTTGTATGTTCTCTCCTGCTTGATTTTCTTTAGGTTTGGTTGGCTGTAGTAAAATAGTATCTTTCTTCACCACAGAGGTTTATTACCAGTATATTGTGGTTCTCTATATCTGTAGCCTTATTAAAGGGAATGTCTTTCCTTGTGCATTTCCATTATGGAAGCAGTACTAGTTTGTAACCCTTTATTATGTATGATGATGCAAAACCCAGGTCACATATCTGTGTTAATTTTGTGCATTTATCTTGAGGTTTATTCTTTAACTTTTCATAAAGCTATCGTATACTCTGTATGGGTCTGTTGAGGTAACATGATTTGGTGGTTCCCCCCTCCCCTCGCTTATGGGCATCTGGGATCTATTCAATTGAAAGATTAGTGTAATGTAAATTTGACTTTCCTTCTTTCTCTTTCGCCAAATTTTAATCCCTTCAAGTTGCACTTATGTGTATTTGGTTTCCATGAGATGATGTTCGACACTTAATTGGATAAAATAGGCAACTACATGAGAAAAAAAAAGGAGCTCCCTATGAAATCCCGACTTGTGAGGGTATGGATGAGCAAATCCTTGTACATAGTCTTGCCCTTACATTTTTGCAAAAAGACTGTTTCATGGATTCCAATCCAAGACCTTTTGGTCACAAAATGAGCAACTTTATGACTGTGCCAGGTTCACCCATAGGAAACTGCATGAGAATTAGAAAGAAAACAAGGAAATAGGATAGATATGGCTTGCGAATGTGCATGAAATAAAATGAATAGGAAATAGGAAGATTTGTGTTGCTCTGACACCTTTTTTTATTTGTCCTGTCGAATAAGACCTGGTAGTGGTAATTGTGGAAGCTGCTTTTCTCTTTGCTTTTACCTTGCATGTTGAATCTTGCATCAATAATTGTCAAGGGGTAGTCTCATTGAGCAAAAAAAAAAACCTTATGTTTTGAAGAAATAAAAAATTTAGTAAGATCAGGAGGATCAGGAGTCCTCTGAACAGCACAAAAAATAAGGAAATAATATAAATAGAAACCAGCTCAAGAGAGCTCTGAATCCCTCTATACTTTTCATTCCAAGTAATAAATGTAGAACATTTGATCTGCAGGTCTGAAGACGTTCTTCTGTCCTTGTGGAACATTTTCAAAGATTGCTACTGTTGCAACAAACAGGCCCATGTGTAAGTTGGCTATAATATATTGTGTTAGCATTAAAGTGATGAATCTATATCTGAATTCTGTTTCATTTAAATTATTCTCGCGTACAAGGCTGGAATTTAAGTAGATCAAGTTGATATTGATCTTATTATTATATTATATGGGTTCAATTTAGATTTTGTACCTCAGTAAAATCTCTTACTTAGTTACCATGACTTTTGTGGGAAGCTAGATTGATGAAATCTGAAATCTTGACTTCATCAGCTTAACTGAAATTTTAGAAGAAGTCTTATCTACACTTTCTTATGTTGTGAAGACTGAAGTAGAATGATATATCTTGAATTTTACCAAGAATGTAGACATGATTTATGTAATTCGGACCTTTTGTGTAACTTATGAGTTAGTGCTAAGGGTTCTTTACGTTGCAAATATTTGTCATTGCATTTTATGCTTACTTTCAATCTGTTTAATTTGAAACACTTAAAATGTTCTGCCACTCTGTGTTTTTTTCAGCCTCTGGAGAAGCATGTAATGAATTGATGGCATATTCATTAATTTTATCTTGTTGTTGCTATACTTGTTGCATAAGGAGGAAGCTTCGGAAGATGTTGAACATCACGGTAATGCTTCCTTCCTTCTGCATAAATTTTCATCCCTTTTATTTATTTTTTATTTTTGGTGCCTTGTGTTTGTGGATATTCATATATATTTTCAGCTTCATTAAAGATGCAGATCACATATTAAGCTTTGTTTGACAGCATTGCTCATTGTACCATGTAAAACGTATACATTTTATTCTCATGGATATATGCCATAATCCACACCTATTTTGTAAACATGGATAGCAGCTGGCTCGCAGCTATTAGCTTATGCCTAATATCTTATTATTCAGTATTATTAATCCTTTTTTATGCTATTTATACCAACTCTTATTATTTCAAAGTAGATTCTAATTGTCCAATTTTCAAGATGAGTTAAAAAATATGGATAATGTATTTGTTAAGATTTGAGCATACATAAGAATTTAATATCATGCATACTTGCATTTGCTGTTTCTTTAAATGTTACTTTACTCACAGTTACATTCGATGCTAGGGGGGCTTTATTGATGATTTTCTCTCTCATTTGATGTGTTGCTGCTGTGCCCTTGTGCAAGAATGGAGAGAAGTGGAGATCCGTGGGGTTAGTGGTATGTCCTCCGCATTCTTCAGCTTCTTGTACTAGAATATTGGGAACTTTCTCTTGTTCAAAATTCCAATTACGTTACATGTGTCTTGGTCTTGTCTTTCCTTTTCTCAGCAAAACCTGTTGAATTGGACCTAGCTTGTTATTCTTGTTATAAATTTCTATTTTACTATAGCTTTTTCTGTACGTTTTTTTTATGGGTTTTATGTTTATCATGTAACATGATATAACATCACTTTCCTACACACACATTAAAGAGGTGGAGTCCACATGTTTTTCTTTCTCTTTCATCATTCCACTTTCTCTCTCTATTTTTTTGTGTGTGTTGGAAACAACACTTAAATCATGTAACATAACACTAATAAAACCCTTTTTTTATCCCTAAATTATTCTTGCTAATCTGTGCTCACATTGCATGCGAAATTTTTATGTTAAACTATTTTGCAGGTCCTGAGAAGACCAAAACAAGCCCTCCACCCTCCCAGTACATGGAAACTTAAGTAACAAATGAGATTGTCATTTGGTTGTTTAGAGATTCAAGGGTCCTTGAAGACCATACTAAATAGAGGCATTGGCTATTGGAATTATCAAAGGAAAGCAGTAACTATGTATTTTGATTCTCACCTCACCTGGCCTTGGTTAAACTATGTATAGTAGCTTTTTTGTGTTATACTAAAAGCCCGTCTGTTTGGGCTTCTAGAAAAAATGATTTTTATCTCTTTTTTATTTTAGAAGTATTTTTTATAAAAGTGGAAGTAATTTATATTTTTATAAAAATATTTAGCTTTTGAAAAAATATTTGGTTTTTGACTTTTACTTTGTTTAGAAGCTAAAATTTTTAGCTTATAAAAAAGTAGAATTTTAGCTTTTTTTCTGACTTCTGCTTTTTTTTAAAAGCAGACATCCAAACGAACTTAAAGTCATAAGTGTTTTTTTTTTTTCTAAAAAAAGCAGCTTGCTTTTGGGGAAAAAACAATTCATCTAAATGGGCTTAAAAACAGGTAGCTTCTAGATTTAGCTGTCGGTGTATCGTAAATTAATTTTTTGTTTTCTTGATTTAGGGGTGTATTGGATTGAGATTTTAAAACATTTTAATGAATTGTTTTTGGACAAAAAAAAAATCATTGGTATTCACTTAGAATTTTAAAAGATTAATTTTGATTCTATCTAAATCTGGTGGTATTTAATCAGGATTTTAAACAAAGAAAAAATAATCTTTTGGTATTCAAATTAATGTATTTCTATTAGTGTGGATTTCATGAGATTTTTTAGTGAGAAGTATAAGTAGGATGTCTCTTTCACAATTTCACGAGCATTCACCTTAAGCCCTAAAAAGTTTTGAGATTTCTCTATTGCAGTGTGTCTTTTTTTCTTTGGCGGGTCGACTAGCTCAAAATCGGGTTATGTTATGGGAGCTTTGCTAAAGCTCAAAAACAGTAGATTTTTTAGCGATTTTTATCACAAAACAATTCAAAAATAACCACTCAACAAGATTATAATCTAATTCATCTTGAAAATAGCAAATTTTTTAGCAATTTTTAAGAGTTTTTGAAAGTTTAAAAAAAGATTTTTCAAGTTATGGGTCGCGATTTTCTTGGCACAAAAAGGTGTATTTTTGTATTAAAAATAACATAAAATAGTGGAAAAATAACATGAACAAAAATTCTCAAACCAATTTTTATTTTACATGAAACGAGATTGATTTTAAGAAATATTGAAACTTTCCTAAGATGAACCTTTTGTAACAATACATTCATGAACGAAATTCTCTTGCTGGAAAGGATTTCAAACAATTTTTGTGTTAATGGATCACTAAAAACTTGTTTTTCAAAAGCTCCAAAACAATTTAAGGTTTCAATGTATAGTTTGAAAATAATTTAAGAAATTTTTTAAATTTTCATGTAATGAAATCCCAAAATTCAAATTCAAAATTTTCTTAGAATACTCAATGAAAACATGTATAAGATATATGATTAGAAAACTCTCATCACGTAGAACAAAAACCTCTAGGTTTCCAAGATGAATAGCAACAAATTCCAAATGAAATTTTATCATGAACTTTAGTTCTATATGCAAATTTTGAATTATTTTAATAAATAAAAAAATTGTGTGTTTTATAATTATATTTGCATAGCTCTGATACCAAATGAACCATTGGTCAAACCTAGGGGTGTCAATATGGGTTGACACGACACGAATTCGACACGACACGAATTCGACACGACACGAATACATCAACACGAACACGACACGAAATTTCATTCGTGTCAAAATCTTCAACACTGACACGACACGAATTTTTTGCGGGTTGACACGACACGACACGAATAACACACAAAATAAGGGACAAAACGGTAATTGACAAAAAAATTTAAAAAAATAGATCGAAAATAAATAAAAAATTAAAAAATAATAATAAAATAATAATAATTAAAAATAATACGGGTCGACACGAACACGAATTCATAAACACGAACACGACACGAATTTTTTGCGTGTCATTTTTTCCAACACGAACACGACACGAATTTTTTTACGGGTCAACCCGAACACGAATTTTCGTGTCGTGTCGCGGGTTGACCCGCGTGTCAAAACCCATATTGACACCCCTAGTCAAACCCAAGAATAGGAACGAAAAGATGCTAATACTTAGTAGGGCGAATATAGATAATATCATTGCTTGCACGTAAGGGTGTAAATGGACTGGGTTAGGTCAGACTTTGGCTTTAGTAGCCTAAGTCTATCTAAAATATTTAGAGTTTATACTGATATATTAGCCTATTAAAAGTTTGATTTATAAATCTGGTCTGACCTATTATAAAAAATTAAAAAAACCTAACGCGGGCTGTAAGGCCTACTATGTTGCAAACTAAAGTTTATAGGCCCAAATCAAACTGAAATATTAAATATAAAATTTCTTATTCACAAAGACCATATGAAATAATATCTTCATTAACTACACATGAAATAATATTCATAAAAATCACATGAAAATTTCACTCATATATATATATATATAGTTAGGACATTTTTACTGCCAATTTTTTTTACTACCATTCCACTACCACTCTAATTATCGTTGGATTAGAGAAAAAGTTGAATGAAGAGAGAGAAAAGAAAAGTAACTTTTGAATCCAATGGTGATTAAAGTGGTAGTGAAGTGGTAGTAGAAAAAATTGGTAGCAAGAATATCCTACCTCATATATATATATATATATATATATATATATATATATATATATATATATATAATTTGCACTTTCTTTACTAATTTAATTTGATATTATATTTTAAATTTCAAATAAATATTTATTATTTGTTAAAATAACATCAATCATATTACTTTGAAAATTAATGTTACAAATCATGATATCAAAATATGTCTTTAAGTGAACAATATATTTTATAAATATATCATCTTATTAAAAAAAATTAAAAGGCTAGCTTACAAGCTTTTAGGCCAGATTTTTTTAAAGTGGAACTATGGCCTAATTTTTAAATGAAATTTTCTAAAAACCAGGTTAGCTTACAAGCAGTAGGGGTGGTAAATGAACCAGGGGCCTTTGGCTCGGCTCGTGAAAGCCCGAGCTTACATGTCTAAAATTGGTTGTTGGAACCTGTAACATCCCCGTCTCGAGCCGGTTCAATTAACATACACATGATATAAACAGAAACAGCGGAAGACTTAACTTACGAAAATATGAGCTAACTTTTTCTTTTTCTAACTTAATTCTTACTCGGTGTAAACGAAAATCGGGCAGAGTTTCCTCTATAAATCGGACAACTGGGAATTTTCCAATCCCACTCAGAAGCGTTTCCTGATAAACAGTTTATACAGCATATTAATCCAGAAGTACCAATCATGCAAATATAATCAGATACCCATCCATGGGCGCATGCAAAATTTGGCTCCGTGCCACTATCCTAATCAGCATGCAATCCAATAAGAAATCATAAACTGAATAATACATCATCATATAACGTGCCTGAATACCCAAATGTACATGCATCAAAGTGACAGACATGTACAAAACATATACAGGCCACATACAAAATAAAGGATCAATATCATGATCCATCAAATGCGGAAATACTAAAAGACATCAAACACTCCAAAAAGGTAGTAGCCTATAGCCACTCAAAATCCGATCTGTCAACTGCCTCAGCCACGTGTCGTGTCCCTGCCTAGTGAGGACTCACCGGGAATCTGGGCACCTGAAAATATGTCCCCAACGAGGGGTGAGATTACAAATCTCCATAAGCTCCAGGTTTATAGAGAATTCTCCATACCCCTGGCTCACTCCTGCACGAAAGTCAGATACAGAGTATACAAATACAACATATAACAGATATCATAACATAACAGAGCATATATCCATATCATATCAGAGGCGTGCGCCGTCATTCCCAAGGGAGGACCCCAAGCGGAAATCAACGCACGTGTTCCCGAGGGAGGACCCCAAAGCGGAACCAGACATAACAGAGGCGTACACCATCAGTCCCGAGGGAGGACCCCAAAGCGGACTTCCGGGTACTATACAATCAATGGCCAGAGATTGTTACAGAAATCATATTACAGAAGTCATATCAGAGCAAAACATATCATGTTATCAAATAACTCTATATGAATGCATCTATACAAAGCATCTAAATCACAATCATACAGTCCAACCATAGTTCACTAACCATGGTGGAGCACTCAAGCAGGAAAAGACTCCTTAAACATAGAGCTTACCTCTTGAAGCTTTACCAATACCCTTACTTGTTGCACAAGTTACTTATATATCTTCAAGAGATTCTGATTCCTTTTTAGTCCCTAGGTACACCTAGAGCAAGAATCCACAAATACCAATTAATAAAATGCCATCATGCCTAGCTTTCACATAAGGCACACATTTTATCGCTTCTTTTCATTTCTTTGCATTTTTGCCAATCCTATGCCAATACACAAGTCTAGACCTCTTTATAACCGTTGGTGTTCTTTAATTTAATCATCCATTCCCTTACGAATTTCCAACATAAATCATAACATTTTACTTTAAAGGACCGTGAGCCTAAAATTAGGAAATCAATATATTTTTCCATGATTTCTTTTCAAACCATTTCACTTCATGACTTATCATTTTCATACTTTGAAACACACATATTTTATTAAAATAAAATATGACAACATCTTTCCCTAAACACCCTATATGTCGAATCCTTTAAGGGAATTTCCAAGGATCCTTCTCTTTTACAATACATTTTCCTCACTTAATTTAACAACTACACGTACATAAATATATATATATACCAAGTTCCAATTTAATTTTTGGGAATCTCAAGCTCTTTAAATCCTTCAAGGACGAAACATCAAGGGTATGTTTCAAAGGATTTTCTTTCAAATTTAACATTCTTACTAACTCATCAAATTTCCTCTTATTCAAGAACATTAAACCTTCCCAATACATACAATAAATCTTTGTGCATCACCCCTAATTACCCTATCAAGGCCGAAATCTAGGGTATGTCACCATGGGATTTTTTTTCAACTTTTTTTATACATGTTCATATGCTTATTCCACATTCCTATATCCAACACATCATCAATCCATCATCAATTCAAATTTTAAACTAATTTATTTCACACCAACACATGCTCACAATTTCTATGACACAAACCATCAAAATAACATCATGGAAACAAAGGTTTCTTACCACTAATCAACTTCCCAAAGCCTAGAAAGCAACCTCCATCAAAAACTCACT